GGATACAGAGCAAATCCAGCGGCGACGTGCCAAAAGTCGGCGTGTCGAGAAGTAAAACAACGAATGGAATAGTCGGCCTTCAGAAGAGAACTACAATCGCTGTGATCGTCTGCAAAGCACACGTTAACACAGACTCCAGGCAAAGGCAGAATGTTTATAATCTTCTTGCTCGTCATTGGGTAGGACAACAGGAGGAAGAGAAAAATGTTGCGGTAGCAGGACTTTTTCAACTTGGCGACTTTCTCTTTTTTCGAATTTCGCACCGCGTGAGCAGCACAATTCTTCGGACTTTGTGGCGCGTTTTCCTCAGTGGAATACTTTATAGTTTCTGAGTTGTCTTCTTCTGTAAATCTCCTTACTCCCCATGAAGAGTTTTCTTCCGTGGAGTTTTCCATCCTGTTGATGAGATGCTTCTTTACGAAGAGGTAAAGCAGTATCAAAGATACAACCAAAACGTTTACAGCAATAGCGAGGACAAATTGAATGAATGGGTCCAAGCGGAGCAAAGGGTGAATGCAACTCAGTGGGGCGAACTGCAAAATGTTTCCTTCGACAAACTTCAGGTATTCTGTCATAGATACAAGCACTACTGGCCACTGGACTTGCAGCAATGCCGAGAAAATCCCAGGGAGAACTTGATAAAATCCAATAACGATCTTGATGCAGGACATAACGACATCTGCGACAGTGCGATTTTCTTCCGTGCGTCTTGAGTCACCCCAGAAAATAATGACAAACAGCAGGACAAAAAGAACAATTATCACACAACAGGAAATAATCGTAACTGCCGTCTTTGGACAACGTAAACAGTTGTTAAATCTGTGATAGTAGTGTGAGGAACATGTTGCACAGAGGACACCCTGGTATCCTGAATTGCATGTTGAGTTAATTCCGCCTTTACACGAATCTGAATAGGGGCACTTTACCGGCTTCGGAAACGACCCTTCAAAAGTGGAAAAGGCTTTGTTATAGCTATCATTGTGGGTGTAAATGTTAATGACAAACTCCGTGTAAGATTGCTTTCTTTCGGTGCTACTCCAGTTCCAAAAATAATTTGGTGCTAATATTGCAGCCTCATTCTCACAGTTAATTCCATAACTCGGACAAGCTGTGCAAGGACCAAAGCGATCCAAGCGGTAGAAGTTGCTGAGACAGTTACAAGCACGAAATCCAGCGGACTCGTTAGTACGGGTACCTGTTTGATGAAATAACAGATGTGTACAGGTATATCATATAATGATCGTGATGGGGGTGCACAGTGATTTTTCGAACTCCATATTAATAACAATGGGAAGGAATTATTTAATTGACTGCATGAGTCATTGTTTCATATTTGCAACTGATTGGTACCATGTTTTCTATTGTAATAAGAAGTTAACAATAAAAACCTTTAGGTTCAAAAAAAGTAGTTTTACTGTGTTCGATTGTAATTCTATTTCATTCATAGATCATTTTATGTTGTACATCCCGTTAAGATTCATTTAAGATTCGAGAGTAGTGATAATAAACATGGTTGAGAAAGTCGTTTTAGAAGAAATTCACAGTAACATACACAGTCCTAAAATGACTGCAAAACGTTCGTCGTCTTTTGTTGTCTTCCGGAGAGTCACGGAAAGAACTGAAAACATAATGCTAAATTGTGTTTATAACATAACCAAAGTAAAACGCGCGATCTGATTGGTCAATTCAGCGTCCACCATTTGCTCATGGGTGTACGCTGCTGACGCGAGCAATTGCAAATACTAGATTTCCGCGCACTTGTTTTTTCTGGCCACACAAGATCTGTTAAATAACAGAAAACTCTTTTACTACAATGTAACAATGTTAATTTATAAAACAAAATGGTAAACGCCAAAGTGTACAAAATTGAGTTATAGATGCACTTGGGAGGTATCTAAAGATCGTTTTGCTTGTACAGTTTTTTAAAAAATTCCAGATTAATAATCGATTGAAAGAATGACAAGCTATTCAAAATAATTCTTATAATATGAATGAATGTCGTAGTTGAATGTCACAGAAGTCGTTGCATTGGTTATGGAAGACTGTCACAGAAATTCAAAGTACTGGTGGTCACTTTTCAATAAATTTGAATTTTACTCCGCTAGCTTCGACTGACCCCTTCCATTCCCCATGAAAACCAATTTTTCTCCTTCCCCCGAGATCCTTCAACTTCTCTGGCGATAATGACTAGTCCTTAATAATACATGGATGTGCTCCTTTAAACTAGAATCCCTAATCATAGAAGCACTCATATTGGTTCTTCAAATGACTTTCAAGTGAGAAGCCACTCAACTTAAAATAATCAATTCTCGAATAACAATCTGAGTCAAAGATAACCGTTGACAACCGAGATTCTTACCATACGGGCATGCACAACAATCAGTTGCACTTTTTCCAGGATAGCGCCTCTTGGGAACAAAAGTACCCGTGCTGCAATTCTTACATTCGGTCTGACCCATTTCATCCTGATAAAAGCCTCCTAAAAAGTCAAAATTTGCATTTGATCTTAATTCAGACCGAAATACAAACTTTTCTAAACTTTGCAGTGTACCTTCTATTTAGATATCATTTAAATTTAATTTCAAATCGTTCTCGATTATCATAGAAATGAAAACTGCTTGGTTACCTTCAGGACACTTTAAACAAAAGAAGGGTGTGCCATAGGTTCCTGCTGGACAAAAACTGCAGTTGTAGCACGAAAGAAATGGACTGGGCTTGGTTACAATGCACACTGAGCCTAAGATTCCAAACCTCGTGGCTATGCCTACTTTATCGCCGCACAGTGTATAGTTTATAGCTGATGGGGCACATTCG